GGGGAGGGGTTACGGAAACTTGGACAAGAGGTGGAGGAGGAGTAAAAGTTTCAAGAAAAACGTGGACATAATTTATGGACAATCCCTAATCAGGACTGTTTTTCAGCTGGAATGTGTCAATAGAATGTCCAACAAGTAGCAGTTGTTCAGTAAAAACAATACTAAATGTTCAGTCACCATAAAAGTGTACCAGCAGTAATTTAAAAAAAAAAAAAAAAAGAGTACTACTCATAATAATGTTTGATTTATAGCAAAAACTTATAAAATCAACAAGTAAAACTGCCATAAAATTATGCTAAAACAGTATCACTTTGATCAATGAACTGTAATCATATATTCTATAATTAATTAGATTCTAAACAAAAAATGAATAATTTTGTTCTAACAAATAATATAAAATGTAAAAAAACTAAAACCCATTAACTTATATAAAAAAAATAAATAGTGCTTCAATACATAAGCAGTAAAATATCTTTTGAGACTCATATATTATGCAATCCTAAAATCTTTTGATTGGTAAGGAAACAAGACATTATTTCTTTGTCAAAATCCTATCACCATTTCAAAAAAATTTGTCATTTACATAAAAATAATTAAACAAAAAATTGAAATAAGTAAGAAAACCACAAAAAGAGAAAAGTGAGAAAGCAAATTTTTTCCACAACTTTTATATTGCCTTGACAACACTCTTTTCTACACTCCCAATTTGTAGTATGCAAATCATTGCAACAAAGTGGAAGAGCAGTGGTAGATTGTTGCACAGGCACAAGAAGCATAAACTTGGGGCTCTGACTGTCAGGGCTTCAGAAAGTTAGGAACTACAAAAAGAAATATACAGTAATACCTCGGTTTTCGTTGCCTTCAGTTATCATCAATTTCAGTTTTTATTGATTTTTTCTGCTAAAAATTTGTCTTGGCTTTCATTGGTTGCCTCGGATTTCATCAGCATGCCCACATGACCTCACTGCTAACTTTGTGAAAACAAAGGGCAACCCACGTGTTTTCCTGCTCAATGTGGCATTATTTCTCATTGTGTAAGCATTATTATCCCGTGCCTCTAGCCAAACAATTCCATTGCTTTTGTGAGAATCTGGACACATCAAGTAGGAGCTTTTTCTTAAAAAGGTTTATTGAGAATTAAATTAAAATATTATTCTTGCGTTAAAAACAACATATTTTTGATTTTTGTAATTTCACAGGAAAAAGATTAAAGGGAAGTAAACTTTCCTTTTCGACTATCGACTTCCCATTGCAAGATGTTATTACATTTTTTTTTTTATGAACATCTGTTAAGATGAGTTGTCATTAGCATCCTGTCACATGAGAATAACTTAAACATTGATTGGAGGGCATTGGGAGATAAAAGTGGCAGAAATTCAAGCCTCGGGGCAGACTTCACTCTCAGAGACAGATAGACAAAGCCCTGTCTGTCAACCAAAAAGGAGAGACGGGAGACAAGCTAGGTGATGAGCGGTGACTAGCTCCTCTCCAAAAGATTTCCCTACTGATATGCTGACACCACCTCGACGATATCAGAAGACATCAGTCAACTAGAGGTATTATGAACTGATTTATGTAAACTCTCTCTCTCAGTTGACTCAGATGTAAGTACAGTAGAGCATTGATTATCCAAATCAATTGGGGACTGGGGTTGTTCGGAAAATCAATTTTTCAGATAACTGATTATGTACAAAAAAAAATATATTAACTTATCCCATGTTGAAATTCTCCTTAAATGGCACATCCTTAAGTACCCTCTCATGGTCGCACCAGTGCTGCCAGCTAAAACACACACATCAACAAAAATAATATTGGAGTAGCCCAAGACATAGCCAAAGATTGCAGTGCCACAGCTCTAGTGGAAATTTAAATTTGCCAACTGGAAAGGTTTCGGTTAATTGACGTTTTGGTTGATCGATATTCGGATAATTGATGCTCTACTGTAACTAGTTAGTCAAACTAGATAGGTTTAATTCTTTTGTAATCCATCATTACTTTATTCTTGTTTATTAAACTTTTTGATATTTGTTAACCTCTCTGTTAACCTGTTATTATTCAGAAATTGGACCCTTATCGACATACCTACTGACTTCGCCACTCAAAGTAGATATTCGATGATAGTATAATCACGAGTTAAGACGTGTTATTTCTTAACTGATGCCAGAAAAAATTTTTAGACTTGAGATCTCCCGATCTTAGGTCAACCTGCCAGAAAAGGCCATCCAAGTGATGACGTGAGCAGGCCTAAACGTCCTGCCACAAGAAGGGTTGACAGTATTAACCTGCAACACCAGCTTCTCATAATTTCCTTTTCTTTTTGCTCCATCATAGGATCAAAGAAAGTTTCCAGAGCCAGCAGCCCTTCAAAGAAGCCCAGGAGCATGATCAAATTGAAGAAGGAAATAATTAAAAAATACGAGTGACATTAAGATTGCTGAAATTGGCCACTTTTACGTTAATTTCTTATTGTCTTTAGTGTTAAACACTATATTTATTCTCTATAAAATGTGTTTTTGGTATGTATTTTGGCATGTCTAGAACAAATTAATTGGATTTATATTGATTCAATGGAAATAATTGCCTCGGTTTTCATTGGTTTCTAATTTTGTTGATCTATTTTCTAGTGGATTATTGACGAAAACAGAGGTATCGCTGTATTCTGCATATCTCAGGTGAAGATGGTATCTGCAGATACCATCTTCACCTAGACATTTAAAGATTAATTTTTAAGGAAATGATTAACTGATCAGTACTTTTTTTATTAAGTAATAAATTGATTTTATAGCATTACTTAATACAGTAATGCTATCCTGTACTCAACTTACGCTACCCTGACTTATGCGAACCCGGAGTTACGCGATTTTCAAATCTCATCAATTCGTCTTTTGTTTGAGCGCCACGCAACTCTTGATTACTCACTCCCCCCACACTATTGTTCAGCTTACATGTTCAGACATGTCGCACGGAATCAACACATAGCTACAATTTATTTTGTGTTGTTTATTTTTGTGTTTGTTATATCTACAGAGACTTGAGAGACTCTATGTGGTGATTTCTTGTAACCAGGAACGAATCAAAAGACGAGATAAGATTAATGAGAACATTTATTAGCTTACATACATCCGACTTGGATTTTACACAAATTGCGAAATTATACCCCAACTTACGCGGTTATCGCTTGGTCCCACCTATCGCATAAGTTCGGGGTATTACTGTATTTATAACAAGGAGACCTCAAAACTACATTGCACTCGGGGTCCTCCAAGCACTTAATCTGCCACCATGGAAGAGCGAGTGTAACTTTAAGCATTTTCTTTATTGAAGTTTCTAAACTTTTTAACCTAGTGCCATTAGGATGACATTATGATCCAGAGATCATATAACTCATAAATCCCTATTTGTTCATGTTTTTTTAATATCAAATGTAAATTTTTTACCTAAATTTTCCATAAATAACACATTATGATTTAATCACCGTATCATCTATTTTAATTAAACGTAAAATTGAACATTAAATACAGAATGAATTTATTATCATCCAAAATAAAGAATAATTTGTAAAAACACAATAATTACACATAGATATCTTTTGAAACAATAAAATAAAATATTTTTTTTCTGTCAAATATATCTGTAAAATTTCAATTATATTACAGTTAATAATTGTAGAATCTAGTAGTAAACTACTTTGTCAGATGTGAACTCCAAACGAGGGGTTTCCCACTCCCAGAATTGTAGATCCCTGTACAAGTAAAAAAATCAAACAAACCATACCTGTATACGTGCAACCCTTGATGAGACATTCACCTCCAAAAGTAAGTTTTTAGCACAGTTTTACTAAGGCAGTACTAGTATACTGCCTATTCTCCACGCTCCGCATTGGTCCAGGCAAGCTGTCGCTGGCCTCAACCCATGGCACACATAGTCATGCATTTTGGTGCCTGTCATCGCTCGCACCTTAACACCTGCGAGACAAGGCCCCACATCCCCAAAAATAATATAACATGAGGTATTCCACAAATGGTCAAGCAGGCCACTCAAAACCAGCATAACCGAACGAGCCAAATAGTTAAATGCAACAGTCTTGGCCGAGCGACTCAACTTGCAATGCCAGGAATAGGCCAATTTTGGGAAATTGTATCTCAAATAGTCACACGTACAGGTACAGTTCCTCTGACTTTTTTGGCTCCTATGGGTATGGTCTATATCAGTGTTTCTCAACTGGCGATATCGCCCCATGTGGGTGTTTTTCCATGTTGAGGGGGCGATTAGTAACAATTTATATTTTGGGAACGAAAAACAATTTTCTGGGCGATATAGTAAAACATTATATTAAGAATAATAAGATATTTTATTCGTTATATCGTACAATAATTAAACAAATAACATTATACTGTCACTAGTCTATTCAATGCAGTACGAATTTGGCGTTAGCCTTGGTCCTGGGCATCGGAATTTTGAAGTGAAGGGGGCGATGATTCGTTAGAGGTTGAGAAACACTGGTCTATATGATCCAACTCATTCACAGGTGTAATTGTACCAAATAATTTATAATAACCATAAATGAGCCAATTTGGATTAAACCTCAGACTGCGACTGTTGTAAGAGGAAAAATAGTTTCCATTCATCAATTTACACGTTTTAGTTAGAACTGGAGTTAACGGAATTTGAACTCAAAAATGTAAGCCATTAATTAAATCAATAGTTCTATTTATTTCCCTTATACATATAACACGGATTATACACAACTTTATAAAATCTATTCATTTTAAATTTATTTACTATAAATTTCCGACCAGCATGTTTCGAGAATCTTACCGAAATGTGCTTATTGATCGAAATTAAGGTTCAAAAAATAAATGAATTACTAAAATATTTTCATATCTAATTTCAGTTATTTTCTACTTCGTGTATAGTTTTATTAAAAACAAAAATATAATTTATATAAAAGAACAAAGAAATCAAAACGTGAAAACACATTCAAAACAAATGCAACTTACCGCCGCCATTTTTTAGATTTTCGGTCTTTACACTGTTGCCAGTCTAATTCACAAACGTATAGAGTCCGAGTGCAAGTTACTCGCGCGCCGCCCTGGTGGAAAATATTTACATAATACATAGGAGAAAAATGCGAAGGGTTTCTTCTCCATTTGAATTCTTAAAGTGGAAAAAAATGAGACATTCATTTATTCACTATTAGAGAAGATGCAAATGTTCTACTTTAATTATTGTTTACCTTCAATTGTAAATAGTATTTAAGTATTAAGTGTAAACAGTATCAAGTTTTTATAGTGTTTTCACAATAAAAAAATTTCACTCATTTATAATTGGTAGCTGCAGATTTACTAATACTACACAAACAAACATTATTTTATCTACATATGGAAGAAGTGAAATGGGTAATCTACAGTCCAATATTTCAAAAATTTTAATTCTACCTATGGCTCTCTCAACGTGAATTCATACACGAGCAATTTTGTATGTTTCGTCCATTTCGTTACCACTAAACTGCTTTTGATTTGGTTTTGAAAAAGGAGGCATAATTAAAATAGTATTTTTATTTTCGACAGCCAATTTAATTTCAGGAAACCCTCTATCAGCTATCAGCTCTATCTCCCTTCTCCAGTTTTTGCATTCGTTACAGATTCGTTTATAACAATCATTTGTTATAAACGAATCTGTGCCCACTAGAAACAAAAGTTATGAGTCCTAATGGAGCAATTCCAATTAAATATTTTATATTATAAGCAGATTTATAGTAACTTAATGTAACTTAATTTATATGTAACTTATTTTCCCAAGACAATTCATAAATTCTAACAGGACTGTTTGGAAGCATGTCTAAAAATAAACTGAAAACATCGAATCCTACTGATGTTAATCTTTTAAAGATTAATCGTCATCAAAATTTGCTACACCACTAAAATGACATGACCTATGATTTTCTCCATATTTTTTGAAATCATTTTAACATGGGAAACTTGAGTTTCAGAAACATTGTTACTAGTCATGCAAATAAAAATTCTTACATCTCCAAACTATTCGTTTGTAGTCTCTGTTTGAATTCCAAAGTCACGTTTTTTTTTCTTTAGGGTCTAAAAAATTGTCTTCAATTGCTATATCAAAGTGTCTTTCTACTTCTTCTTCAAATAAAATGTTCCTTCTGTTCATTAGGCGTTTATATCTCTTCATTGACTGTTCATGTCGATAATTTTCTTCATTGCTTCTTTTTTCAGGATAGATTGTTGAATTATAAATTGGACATCTTGGATCTTCACTTTTTTCCCCCATCTATAAAATGCATACTACATATCCGTGCTGATTTAGAGGGTAGCTACTGTGATCCGTTTTTACTAAATTTACAAGGATATTTTTAGAAAATTATTCGTGTCAATTTTTTAAAAATTAACAATAAATTTTGTATTTCTTATTTTTGTCCTTTTGCAAAATTTATCCAAATTTGGCGCCTCTGTTTTAAGGTGTGGAGGTGCCTGAAAACCATAAAATAAAACTTTCGGTGTTACATGTTGAGTGTTTGCTAGTGTATTAGAACATCCAAACACACAACGGTTTACATTTGATTTACCCATGTTTAATATTATAACTCAAATACAAATTAAAAAACAATAAGCGATTTACTGTACTAGGTATCGATTTCGAAATGTCTCAGATACAACACATATGCATTCTTTAGAGAACTCCTATGTGTTATGTAAATATTTGCCACCAGGGCGCGCGCGAGTAACTTACACTCGGACTCTATAAACCCCGAGCCAATCTCCATATCAGAGAAGGAAAGAAGAAGAAGAAGAAGAAGCCCCCACCAGTGGGCGAGTGGTCTCCGTTGCCGCTCATCGTAGTAGTGACCAAACCCAAAAGACTGGGAGGTTCGTCGTGGGTTCGCGCCACGGTCGGACAGGCTGGCTGCTTGGAGTATCCCGGGTTTTCTCCTTGCCTATAACGACTGAATAGGAGGCCAGTTCCCCATAAAAGTCCTCCCGGAAGGCATTTATTTCCCGCGCGTACGTATGGCTGTTCGATAGGAGGCCAGTTCCCCATAAAAGTCCTCCCGGAAGGCATTTATTTCCCGCGCGTACGTATGGCTGTTCGATACAGCCGGCTAATTGGTCGCCTAGCGATCATACACATACACAAGTCTACTCGGAGAAAGAGCCTACATTGAGCTAAAATCTCCATATAAACACCATCGAAGAAGAAGAAAGAAGAAAAAACGTAAAAGAAGAAGAAGTATTAATGCCAATTTCTTCCGTATCACGGCGCATATGCAACATCAGTCTTAGAGTACTCAAGTAATAACCAGGGGCGAATCCTGGCCAAAATTGGTAATTGTAATCAATCAGAATACTTTCTTTTCAAATATCTAAAAACAGTTATAAAAAATTAGATCACTTCTGAACATATTCGAAGGAGAGTCGGCGAATCGGAGAGAGATCCTATGAAGTGCTAAATTCTCCATATGAAGAAGAAGAAGATATTCAAAGCCCACCAGTGACCAAATGGTTTTTGTTCTATAAACACTGGGAGTTCGGTCGTGGGTTCGCGCCTCGCTCGGACGGGCTGGTCACGTGGAGTTTTTCGGGATTTCTCCACCTCTGTAACGCCTTAAATAGGACCAGTTTCCCTTAAAAAGACCCTCCGAAAGGCATTTCCCTACTCAGATCGACAAAGTATTGCGTTGCCATAACTAAACAAACTGACCAAAATTTTTGGGCATGCTGAAAGTTATAATAAGAATAATAGGCACTAAACAATAGGCAGAAACATTATTTGGTGTGAATTTAAAAGTATGGACTGCTATAAAGACCATTACATCCAGTCATCTACACATGAAATATAGTCTATTATAATGAAAAAAAGTATTAAAAATTTATGATGATAATTCAATTTTTGTTGGCCCTTGACACTGGGGGATCAGGCTTAAGCTCTATTAGTACAGTACCTTTGTAGAAGCCGAATGACCGAACAGTCGAGGTGGCAGCCTACTGCTTTGGGCGAATCCGGATGGGTCAAATAATCCTCAGGAGTATTTCGGAGGGTGGTCCGTTCGGATATGTGGTCCGCCCCATTGTGGGCCTGACAAAACCCATAATGGACTTGCAAAAAGAGGCCCTCTTAGTGCCCACAGGGCGGAAAGAGTTAAATAAATGACAAGGAACAAAACTGACATAATAATACAATTATTAAATTGTACTATTATGTCAATTTATTATACGTTAAAAATTTATTATACATNAGGAGGCATAATTAAAATAGAATTTTAATTTTCGACAGCCAATTTAATTTCAGGAAACCCTCTATCAGCTATAACAATATCTCCCTTCTCTAGTTTTTGCATTCGTTACAGATTCGTTTATAACAATCATTTGTTATAAACGAATCTGTACCCATTAGAAAGAAAAGTTATAAGTCCTGATGGAGCAATTCCAATTAAATATTTTATATTATAAGCGGATTTATAGTAACTTATATGTAACTTAACTTATATGTAACTTATTTTCCCAAGACAATTCATAAACTCTAACAGGACTGTTTGGAAGCATGTCTAAAAATAAATTGAAAACATCGAATCCTACTGATGTTAGATCTTTTAAAGATTGATCGTCATCAAAATTTGCTACAGCACTAAAATGACATGACCTATGATTTTCTCCATATTTTTTGAAATCATTTTAACATGAGAAACTTGAGTTTCAGAAACATTGTTACTAGTCATGCAAATAAAAATTCTTACATCTCCAAACTGTTCGTTTGTAGCCTCTGTTTGAGTTCCAAAGTCATGTTTTTGTTTTTCTTTAGGGTCTAAAAACTTGTCTTCAATTGCTACATCGAAGTGTCTTCCTGCTTCTTCAAATAAAATGTTCCTTCTGTTCATTAGGCGTTTATATCTCTTCATTGACTGTTCATGTCGATAATTTTCTTCATTGCTTCTTTTTTCAGGATAGATTGTTGAATTATAAATTGGACATCTTGGATCTTCACTTTTTTCCCCCATCTATAAAATGCATACTACATATCCGTGCTGATTTAGAGGGTAGCTACTGTGATCCGTTTTTACTAAATTTACAAGGATATTTTTAGAAAATTATTCGTGTCAATTTTTTAAAAATTAACAATAAATTTTGTATTTCTTATTTTTGTCTTTTAGCAAAATTTATCCAAATTTGGCGCCTCTGTTTAAGGTGTGGACGTGCCTGAAAACCATAAAATGAAACTTTCGGCGTTACATGTTGAGTGTTTGCTAGTGTATTAGAACATCCAAACACACAACGATTTACATTTGATTTACCCATGTTATAACTCAAATACATATTAAAAAACTATAAGAGATTTACTGTACTAGGTATCGATTTCGAAATGTCTCAGATACAACGCATATGCATTCTTTAGACAACTCCTATGTGTTATGTAAATATTTGCCACCAGGGCGCGCGCGAGTAACTTGCACTCGGACTCTATTCTGGTATTTTTTTTTTTAATTCTTTCCGCCCTGTGGGCACTAAGAGGGCATTTTTTAGCAAGCCCATTATGGGTTTGGCCAGATCCACAATGGAGCGGCCGGGTGGTGAGGGACGGGAGCCGACATATCCGGTCGGATCATCCCGCGATAAATTCCTGGGGATTTTTCGATCCGTTTGGATTCGATTCCAGGTCCTCCAGAGCTCACCTTCGTCAGTTCTGGGGGACCCGGGACTTGGATAGCTCAGCGGTCAAGGTGGCAGCCACCTTGACCGCTCAGCTATTCGGCCGTCGGCATAGGCTAGTAGGTGGCGATACTCTATCAGCGTTTTTTTAAAAGCAGTTCGCCATGGATTTCCACGCCGTGGCCATTAACCAATCAGACGAAGCCATGACATAACTTAAAAAAAAATTTAAGATATCTGAATGGTAAACACACTCGTGACGCAATTCGATTTCGTTCGGATATGTCGGCCCCCGCCCTCATCACCAGGCCGTTCCATTGTGGATCTGGCCAAATCCATAATAGGCTTGCTAAAAGATGCCCTCTTGGTGCCCACAAGGCAGAAAGAGTTATATAGAAAACACAGAAATTA